AAAGAGGCCCTAGCAGACTTTTATCAATCTCCTGTGCCAACAGAGCCCACAAATTCATTTATCATTAGAGGTCACACTTTAAGAGGCATGAGAAAAGCAGCCATCTTTTCATTTAAGTGCACTGAAAATGGCTGTAGTGTATGTTCAGCAAAAGAGATGAACAAGCACTTTGCAGTGACTGTGAAACTCGTTACTACAAAGCAAATAATAGCTTCAGAAAGAAAAGTGTTATACTTAAAAAGGTTCACTTAGTCTTACTCTTCACAGGGAAGCTTTCTCATGGTTCCTGCATGTACACATCTCCATGCCCCAGGAAGCTCTCCTTTTTTAAGATGAAAAATATTTTATTCCTTTTGTTTCTTACACTTTTCCACTAATTGAAGTAACATCAGTGTCAAATGATTAGACATTCTTTTCAAGTTGATTTTAACCAAAATCACTGGTATCAGGATTAAGTTATTTGATTTTTAAGATTAACTTCGCTATCATTTCTGTGAGTATACCCAATTATCATTCTGCATCAGCTATGCGTTCATTACTTCCCTTTGGATCAGGTGCCATTTTTTTCCTATGTAGATATTTTTAGTCAGCAAATCTGAACCTGTCTGTGGTTATACTAATTTTACAGCAAAACAAGTCCATTGCCCTCTGTTCTACCCTAGCAGGATACAGAGAAATCAGAGGGAATAACACATTTATTTTGTATGAAGAATTGGGCCCAGAAGTTGAATTGAATTAGTTCTGATATACTTAGAAAGAAGATAAGGACTGGGATCACTGGCTCTGCTCTTCCAGTGCTTTTGCATGTTTTAATATCCAAACAAAATGGGTATAAAATTCTAGCAGATTATATTTTCTCTCAAGGCACAAGGACAGGAAACAGCAGGCCAGTTATCCCAACTTGTATCCCAGTTCTCCATGACGTGGTCAAATGGATTCTGCTCCTGCAACGTCACTCAAAATCTCTGAGGTTTCAAAATAAGACATGTGGCAAAGGAAATACACTTTTCCCCATGTGTATTTTGCAACTTAGGGGTATTTCAACTGTGGTGCAATTCCCGAGAGAGAAAAGTGTAGTCAACAGCATATTTTTACACTGAAATCACAAACAGAGATTTCAAGGTTCTACTATCGGTCTTAAAAAAACTCAGAGAAGTGGCCAGCTACAGCTTCCTTGAGCATCTCCCCTTCTCTGCTCCTTTATATGGCCTCTCTGCCCTGACACTGTGGTTTGAAACAAACAAGACAGCAGTGCTGAGAACATTCCTTTGCAGTGATTTTTAAATGTCATTCAGTTGGTTTTATTCTACTGCTGTTGCTATTTTCTAACCCCCATTAGTATGCTAGCTGATGTTCAAAACACAGATAAAGTTCCACTCTGCATCCCAAGCAATTTATAGTCTAAAAGAGAGAATGTTATAATTCAGTGGCATGAGCATTCACCAGTACATGCTCATATGCATCCAGTGTTTATCTAATTCTAAGCTGATATTGTGTATTTACAGGCAGATAATGGCCCTGGAGCTCAGTCTAAAATAGATGGGCTGCGCTGGGTACTGGATATGAACCAGCTCAGGGCTGCTCTATAAAAATTGCTTTGATTCAACTACTACATGGTAGGAGGTCCTCTTTCTCTGCCTCATGGTGTTGAGGATGAAAACAGTTTTCAAAGATTTATACCTGTCCTTTCCCACTCTAATCTTGCCATAGTGCTCTAGAGCCTTTCTCTTCTTCCTACATCCTCTTGGGACTGTTGTTCATGTGCTGTCACAGAAAATATTATTCCCAGAAGGTGATCTGGGTTTCTTACAGACAGTGCTTGCCCTTCATGTATAGCAGCCCTCATGGAGGAGAACAACCTGAGCTTCATGGCCTTTAGGTGTGCAACAATACCAACGGTAAAGATATTGATGGCACAACTCATGTCATGTGTTTCTCAGCAGTCATGGTTTCTGCTCCATTTTCAGCAAGGCAACTGGAAATACCTGCCTAATTCCCTGACTGCTGTTCAGCTTGTACAGGGAGGAAGACAAGGACCAAGGCAGCAGAATTCTGGTTGTAAAGATAACTTCTGGCTGTATAAATAAACAGCGTCTTCTAACTGTGAGGTAGGAGTTACAGTATCAGTGTATTTTTGAGTGATTTCCTTTCCCTGTAACATAATACAGAATGAAAGTCAAGAAAAATTTCTCTGTTTTTCTCACATTAGCAGAGGTCTTTTTAGGGCTAAATTCTTCTAGGAGGCCTTGAGCTGTCTTGGTGCAGCTCTATCTTAAAATTATGAGCTGCAATAATGTATGCTCCTGTAAAGCACATCTGTTAAATTTCAAGGCACAAGCCAAATATGTTACCTAGTGTTTAGTTGGAATTCAGATGAAATCTGATTGAACATTGCAGTGACCAATGCCTTTAGCCCTGCGCTGACTGCATTAAGTGACAAAAGATGATGATTCTGACTAATGCTTTCCTTCTGTCTCTGATCTGTGAGACTGGTTGGTTAGGAAGAAGGGTAGGTTGAGTCTCCTGCTTGTGGTATTTTGATTCCGTGACTCAACCCATCCTTCTGTTGCCAGGAAACTTCACAGCACAATAAATCACAGCATGCGCTCAAGCCTTTCTTTATT